AAAATATATTAACTATTTTTCAAAATTTATTTGTATATTATTGGCACCAATGATTTTTTTTTTTGATTTATTTCTATAATTAAATTCTTGTAAAATATATTTTTATTGCAAAGTATACTAAATTTACTATAAATCCTTATAATGCGAATTAGAAAAATCTTGATCATAGAAGGGATTGAGTTTGTGGCGTTTTTAAATCAAAGTTGTTTACTTAGTATACAAATTAAATTCTAAAAAATATGTGTATATTTTGTATAATATTTATAGACTATTTAATTTTAAATTTTATTTTATATTTTAAATTGATTACATAAATGTTGGTATGGCTCATATATTGACAAAAGAAGAAGGCATGCTGATGCCTGCGAGACGAAGCGAACGTAGCGAGGGAAGCGGAGCGACCGAGCGAAGTGAGCAGAGTAGTGTATTGATGTATTTGAGACTATTGAGAATAATAAAGATCCCTCAGCCGCCGTGGACGTAGGCATATTGCCGAACCACGTAAATCTTGTGTTGTTTACTTTTCTCGTTTTTTAATTCGTATGCCATATTGTCATCTTCTCTCAACAAGTGGTACTAGAGCCTGGTTGGTTGGGCGACGGAGATTACGGGAGGATCGAAATTCGAGGTCTCGAAATTTGATGGTCATGGCAATTTCGGATTATGGCAAACGAGTAAACGATTTATTGGCGCAGCAAGGAATTAAGAAAGGGCTGCGCGCAGAAAAGCCTAAGGGGATGGAAGACGATGATTGGCAAGATCTGTAGGAACGGGCGGCCGGGACGATTCGGTTGTGCCTTGCAGATGAAGTTATGTATCACGTTATGCATCTCAATCGGCGGATGAGATCTAGAAGAAATTGGAATCGCAGTCTATGTCGAAAACCCTAACGACAAAACTGTATCTGAAGCAAAGGTTATACGGGCTGAAGATGCAGGAGGGGACCAATTTAGGGCAACATGTGAATATCTTCAATCAGGTTGTCACGGATTTGGCTTCACTCGAAGTCAAGATTGAAGATAAAGACAATGCGATGATCTTACGGTGTTCGTTACCTCCTTCTTACGAACATATGGTGACTACCCTTACATATGGGAAAGAAACGATCAAGACTGAGGAGATTACTTCAGCGTTGTTGGCTAACAACCAGCGGAAACAGAAATCTGGAGATTCATCTTCTCAAAGTGACAGCTTATATGTGAAGGGTAACAGGATCGTGGAAGAAGACAGGGGCGAGATAATTCAGGAAATCGGAATTTCAAATCCAATTCGCGAGACAAGTCGCAAGGGAGAAAAACTGTGACGTGTTATAAGTGCAAGGAACAAGGGCACTTTAAACGGGATTGCCCAAAGTGGAAGAAACAGACTGCTGATATGTCATCCAAGTCTGCGAATATGGTACAGAATGAGGAATCTGATTGCAGTGATGAAGATATGTTATCTATTTCGACTGCGCAGTATGATGATACTTGGATTCTCGATTCTGGATGTTCATATCATATAACGCCTAACAGATAGTGGTTTGCTACTTATAAACCATGTAACTCGGGTTCTGTTTTTCTTGGTGATGATAGATGTTGCGGTATTGTCGGTATTGGGGATGTCAAAATCAAGATGTATGATGGAACTGTTAGGACATTATGTGATGTGAGACATATCCCTGAGTTGAAGAAGAATTTGATTTCTTTGGGTACTTTGCATAGAAATGGTTTCATTCCCAAGGCTGATAAGGCTGATGAGGATAGGGAAACCATTAAGATTGTGAAGGGTGCCTTGACTGTGATGAAGGAGAGGATCACTGCAGGGAACATTTACAAGCTGTTGGGAAGTACAGTTGTAGGTGGAGTTTATTCGGTGGAGTCGTGTGAAGATAGCACGAAATTGTGGCACATGCGTCTTGGACATCATAGTGAACATGGCATGACTGAACTGCATAAGAGGGGGCTTCTGCATGGTGTTAAAACTTGCAAACTTAATTTCTGCAAGTTTTGTGTTCTGGGAAAGCAGACAAAAGTCAGTTTCTGCATTATGTACATTCAGATGTGTGGGGTCCTACTAGAGTGACATCGATGGGTGGTTCTGTGTACTATGTGACCATTATTGATGATTTTTCGAAAGAGGTTTGGGTGTATTTCATGAAGCATAAATCTGAAGTTTTTGCTAAATTCAAGCTATGGAAGGCTGTGGTAGAGAACCAGACTAGTAGGAAGATCAAGTACTTAAGGTCTGATAATGGTACAGAGTACACTGATTCAGAGTTCCAGACATTTTGTGAGGAGTATGGGATTCAAAGGCATTTTACAGTGCGTAAAACACCACAGCAGAATGGTGTTTCTGAGAGGATGAATCGGACACTGGCTGAGAGGGCGAGGTGTTTAAGACTGAATGCGGGTTGGCCAAAGAGTTTCTGGGCTGAGGCTGTAAGTATGGCTTGTTATTTGATTAACAGATCACCACGTGCATCTCTGGATGGCAAAGTTGCAGAAGAAGTATGGACGGGTAATGATGTTAGTTTTGATCATCTGAAGATTTTTGGTTCTCCTGCTTATGTTCATATTCCTGCTGATGAGAGGTCAAAACTTGATGATAAATCAAAGAAGTGCACTTTTCTGGGCTATAAGAAAGGTGTCAAGGGATACAAGTTTTGGGATCCTGTTGAGAAGAAGACGGTGATTAGTAGAGATGCAGTGTTTGATGAACAGTCTATGTTGGGATCAGATGCAGATAAGGTACATGTGGAGTTGGAACATGTTCCAGCAGTTCTTGATAAGGGAGAGAGTTCGAGTTCTGCACATGATGATGTTGATCATGATGTTTCTGGCCCAACTGATGTGCCAGAGGTACAAGTTAGCTCTGTTCAGGTTTGGTTATGAAGATATGGTCGCATTTGCTCTTACGATCACTAGTGTGGATCATTGTACTTTCTAGGAGGCGGTTTCTTGTGAGAACAGTGATAGATGGAAGGCTGCCATGGAAGAAGAGATGAATTCTGTACACAAGAATCAGACATGGGAGTTGGATGTTCTTCCCGAAGGAAAGAAAGCTATTGGTTGTAGGTGGATTTACACAAGAAAGTCATCGGTAACAGAAAAAGGAGGGGAAAGGTTCAAGGCTCGATTGGTGGCTAAAGGATACTCACAACAAAAGGGGATTGACCATGATGAGACATTTTCCCCTGTGGTTAGACATACTTCGACCAGGGCTGTACTTGCATTGGTGGCTAGTTGGGATTTGCTTTTGGAGCAGATGGATGTGAAGACTGCTTTCTTGTATGGTGATCTCGCAGAGCCTATTTAGACGCAGCAGCAAGAGGGTTTTGTTCAACCAGGGAAGAAGCATTTATTTTGCAGGCTGAAGAAATCCTTGTATAGCTTGAAGCAAGCATCGCGACAGTGGAATATACGGTTTGATTCATATATGCTGAAGATTGGCTACAAGCGTTGTGAGTTTGATTGTTGTGTTTATACTAAGAGCCTTGGTGATGGTTCGATTATTTTTCTGTTACTTTATGTTGATGACATGCTTATTGCTGCTAAGAATATGCGTGATATTGTTGATTTGAAGAGTCTTTTCAGTCAGGAATTTGAGATGAAGGATTTGGGGGCTGCGAAGAAGATTCTTGGGATGAAGATTCGTAGGGATAGAGGATCAAAGAAGCTGTGGTTATCTCAGAAGGGTTATGTGGAGAAGGTGCTACAGAGGTTTGGGATGAATGAAGCAAAACCGGTGGGCACTCCATTAGCAAACCACTTCAAGCTTTCTGTTGATATGTGCCCCAAGTCGGACAAAGAAGCTCAGGATATGGTGGAGATACCTTATGCCAGTGCTGTTGGATGTCTGATGTATGCCATGGTATGTACTCGTCCAGATTTAGCTCATGTTGTTGGTCAAGTTTGCAAGTATATGTCTAGGTCGGGTAAACAGCATTAGGAGGCAGTCAAATAGATTTTCAGATATTTGAAAGGTACTGCGGGACATGGTATTGTGTTTGGAGATCAGCGGTTGGATCCTTTGGTTGTAGGATATGTGGATTCTGATTATGCTGGGGACTTGGATAATAGCTTTTTTTGCTATATAAACATGGGTTTGGAATCGGTTTCCGTTAGATAGACTATAAATGGTATGCTGTTTAACTCAAGACAGTTTACAGGCTTTCTCGAATCGGAGGTCGTTTTCTTAGAATGTAAGGTTCCGGTAGTGGCCAAACCAACCCATTTGATTAAAGATACTAAACCTTTGAGAGTAAGGCTCGATATAATTGGTCTCTGGTTCCTAATATTCTGTCGATAAAGCATTTATATATCATAGTTCTGTCTGGGTAGAACGAAAGGTGCATGGAGTGCTGCTTCACTCTAAAGAGAAAGAGCTAACCCTATCAAGGAATAAATATATATAGTAAAATAAAATTTATATTAGTATAAATGTGTTAGTGAGATAACATATTAATTATTTTACAAGCTAGCCAAAACATGCTCATATTTAATATTTTTACTAAAAAACAATGTTGATTAAAAGAGGTGTAAAATAAATTATAACCTTATTGTTTATTACAATTAACGCTAATTAAAAGATGTAAAAAATAGATGATAACCTTATTATTTTATATACTTAAGCGGAAAAAGCCTGTAAAACTCATTTAATATTTCTGTCTCGTGCATTGCACCGGGTACGTACTAGTTTGTTTCATAAGTTTTTTATTTTCTTTTTAGTTTTAAATGTTTTCAGCAATAGTGCACACAGAAGGCAACTTTTGATACCTACCGATCAATCATCCCAAGAGCAGAAAATACATGGTTTTAACTCATAAAAGTAACCAGGAATCATTCAACGAAAACCCCAAGTATCAAATCTGAATACCGCTAGTTCCCACTTCACAATGAAGAATGGTTTAACAAATTTAAATAATTAAAAACCACACAAAAAGCTCACATTTTTCCATCCTCAGATCCCTAAAAGAAGCACAAAACACCTAACACCATATCTTAAACTGACAATGTATCTCAGTGCCAAAGCTTCATGCAAAACCCACCGGGCACCCTCGAGCACCCATTGTTCGAAATAACATCTGAAAACGTATCGACTAATTGCCCGGCAAGTGACTCCGGATCCTCGATAAACGTGTCAACAAAAACCTTCACGACACGTACCTCCTGAGGGTTAGCTCTCAAGCTATACCAAGTCAAGAACTTCTTTCTAAACCCCATCTCGATATAACCCTCACACTCCAGCCACCTTACGGCTTTCACGTAATACTCGAAATCTTTGTCCCCAATGCCATTATTATGACACCCGTCACGTTTTCTCCCATCTCTCTTTTTCGACGAGCTGCCCGCCTGAGGCTCCATGTCTCTTTCCGACCCATCCTTGAATTTAGGCCTATTTTCATCTTTCAAACTTTCGAACTTGCAAGGAGTTATAGGCAAGTTAGCCTCCGAGCTAGCGACATAAGGCACACATTCCAAGCCAGTGGAGACTGGGGCCCGGTCGGGCCCATTGTCGTCAACACTCATCGTGTTCTGGGCCGTACAATCTCCTGAGGATTCCTTGTTACTATTGGCCAGCAAAGAGGATTTCGCGATTTCATTAGGTAAATTAGGTTGAGTGGCAATTTTACCATTGGTGGTAAAAGGAGAGCACGAACGATCATCATCTCCATTCTCGTCAGCAGCAATAATGTTATTAGTCTCGTCCTCAACTGAAGAAGGATTCGACAGTGTGCTGCAGTTAGTAGCCGGGCTTTGACTTGGACTTTGAATTTGACTTTGACTTTGACTTCTTTCAGGTTCCGAGTTTGTATTTAGGGCGTCATCCTGTGCACATGCTGTCTGAAACTGAAACTCGTAGAGGCCCATCTCCCTATCATTGTTAAGGATTGCGACCTTTAGCAAATACAAAGTGTCGGGAGTAAGACCTGAGAGATGAAACTTTGTGTTGGGCTCAAATAACCGGCAAGTGGGGTCCGCAGAGTAGCCTGCATCGTCGGCTTTACGGTGCCATAGGGAATAGCCCACAAGATTCTTGGTGTTCGACTCATCTGAATGGAGGTTGACCGCGAGTGATGTTGCACCAATGTCTTCGAACTGGACGAGTTTCGAGGCGAGCGTGTTGTAACCTGGAAATTTTTGTAAAGGATCGCGTTAAGTCAGGTAACACATCAGACAGCAAATATCAACATTTTTTTCAGTAATCTTTTATCAAGCCATCGGTTTTGATTATCCAGATTTTACATGAATTGTAAGAGAAGGTAATTCAAGAGAGAGATAGAGAGAGAGAGAGAGAGAGAGAGAGGGAGAGAGAGATAGTGATGGAGAGGGAGAGAGAGAAAGCACCAGAGGGCATCTCAGACACTCGGTTAGAGAGTATCAGGTCGAGGGACTCCACAGCAGAAGCACAAAGCCTCTGAATCTCTGGCCCTGTTGATAGCCTGTTCACAATCCCCCTTGCCTTTTTCACGGGTAAACCGGTTAAGGGGCCCACTTCGTCCTCGAGCTTTTTCACTGCTTCATCGATGATGTCATACAGATTCTGATAATGTTTAGTGCCCGCAAGAATCTTTTGGCCCAATGAGAGCCTGTAGCCCAGTATGTCGACCCGCCTGGTGTCCCTTGCCACCACTAATTGCTTTTTCCATGAGCTGCATTTATATTTCATTTCCCACTATTATTACTTTTCCACAAGAAAAAAAAAATAAAATAAAATAAAATGTTTCTCAATCACAAGAAAATGCAATCATTTATCATTTATCAATCTTTTGGCCCAATCAAAGCCTGTAATCCTTAAATTGAGTGTAAGTTGCAGAACATAAATCCATATCAATGGGAAATGTTAGTGATTCTGGAATATATAGTTGAGCTTGACTAAACCTCAAGAGTGCTTGCTGTGATTAATCCAAAGATTAATCAGCAAATAGAACTGGAGTGAGCCAGGTGGAAAGTACATTTAGCCACAGTTTTCCATTATCAACAAATCGAAAAACTCTGTCATCTATCATATACAAAGCAGCATTAGGTTGGCAACATGATAAGACTAGACCAGATAATAAAGTCTGAGACAAAGATTTTCTATGAGCTTATATTTCTTATAATAAATAAACAAATCGATTAAATGTATCAGGAGCCCTAACATTTAAAACCGAATTGTTCAAAATGCATATTTATTATTCATCTGGTTCGAGTAAAAGTAAAAAGAGTAAAAGATTTGAAGTCGTCTAAACAAAACTCTTCAGGAATCAGAGCATGATCTTAAGACACAAATTTAGCACTCACTGCATAACTAATAAACTACACAAACAAAAATTGATTCTAGCAGAAGAAGATACCTTATAATTGTTTTTATTGACAAAATTAAGTTCATATCAACTACTTAAAATTAAGATTTAAGAAGCAGTCATAGAAGCAACAAAATTCCGAATCACGAAGCAAGTTAAGTCACATAATGCTGCAGAACAGATCATACAAATACCGATAAACCAACAAAAACAATATAAAAAACCAAATAACTTTTACCTCAGCAAATCATTAATCTTCCCACAAGACACACAACAGAAACTCCCGTCAAGTCCCTTATCCTGAGAAATACCCGAATTCTCATGCCTCAACGCACATTCCAGGTGGCACGACATGCCACACGCCACCCCATGAAATGGTGGGTCTGTGTTACACATCAGCCAAAGGCTCGGATCCTTGTTGTCATCATACTGGCGGCAAATACAGCATGAGCACCTCTTGCAAAACACACTCCCACTACTCAATTTAGCTTTACATGCCGAGTTCTTGCAGTACACAATACTACTGTACTCGACTTCAAGATCAACAGACATGGCCCCACTTGTGTCTGCAGGCACAAGATTTGGAGGCTCGGATTTCTTCTGCCTTTTGGAAGTTCTTTCACCGTTTTCTAACAAGAGCTTCTGGGTCTCGGGGATATTAGTGGGCCCACATTCCTTGGAATTTTTCTCATGTATCGTTCTCAGGAGCTGTTCAATGATTTTTGACTTTGATAGACCAGTGTATTTCCTTTCTTTACCGAGCTCGGCACAGAGGATCTGGAGCAGCTCCAGACGGGTCCAAGAGTGCAGGATTTCGGTAGCGCCATCAGGCCATTTGGACATTTCGTGGACAAGTTGCCGCTTTTGGTCCATGCTCAATTTGTTGAATGTTGACGGATCAAATAATGCTGATGGATACGAAAAATTAACAATAAGAAAGAAAAACCATCACCATCGGAAATATAAGTGGCCTGGAAAAACATAATTTTTCAAACAATTCATTTCCAATAAGGCTAATTTAAAAATATGAAAGAAACTAACCTCTGTTTTGGCCTAATCAAAA